TAGACTTATCTAGTGTGGTCTTTTTCTCTTGGCATGTTTTCTCACTGTCCCTCCCCCACCCTTTTTAACTATTCTGCAATATTTCTGTGTTGGGTTTTTTTTTTCGTGTTTTCTTCTCCACTACAGGACTGCTAATGGTACCAGTGTACAAACTGCAAAACTCCTTATATAAAACATAAATATTTAAAAAAAGAAAAAGAAAAAAAAAGAAGAAAGTAAGATTCCTTTTCTTTGGGGAGGGGGATGAACAAAACTGAAAGTTTACCTATCCATGTTTATAAATAAAACAGTGTCTACTGACTCACTCATTCCACAAACATTTATTAAATGCCTACTATGTGCCATGGTCTAACCAGGAAGAACAAAAAAGATGAACAAGACAGTCCACTAGGATAAATGCTGTCTGTAATGATGACATATACAAAGTATTAAAGGAACAACCAGAAAGGAGTAATAACTGTCTGAGACAACCTAGAAATGTTTCACTAATGAGGTGCCTACCACATTCGGACACAAAAGAGGGAGAAATTACAGTTCCTGTGCAGCTGAGTACATTTAGATGGCACGATTTGATGGAATGCCACCTTTATAACATAATGTAGCATCATTTGACCCTTACAGCTTTAATTTTCATTCTAAAAAATGAGGTTCAAGAAGGTTAAACATTTTTTTCTAGAATCACACAAGCAGGGACTCCTACTCCTGGCCTTCTAAGCTCGAAGTGCTTTCCATTACACCGGGAACATGAATTGGTTGTGAACCACTTCCACTGCAAATGCATTTTTCTGTATTTAATAAATACAAAATATCACCCTTGTTATTACCATGATTACAACTACTATAAATTCTCCCTTGCTGACAAGCCAAATGGCTAACTTCAGGTGTTTATATGATCTGCAGCACTAGCCTTTCACATAAGAAGAATGATTACATAATAGGTGCATACATCATAAATAGGAATTCAAGTGTCTTCTTCACGGGCAAAAAAAAAAAAAAAGGCACATATGACCAAAAACCAGTGATCTCTCTTTTAAATTCACATTGCTGTATTGTCATGGCTTATTGCTTTACAGTAAAAACTTCTTACCAAGGAGATGCATTTATTTTTTTTAATCATCTATTTGTACCCAAGTAAAGTAAACAGAAAAATTATGATCATAAAATGCCTTATTTTTACCAAAAATATTCTTACCACCACCACCAAGTATAACCCTTTCTAGTATTTAGATTAAAAATTCTAAAATATGAAGATATTTGTCTATCTACAAATCTTATCCTTAGAAGAGAGAAAAACAAAATATTAAGCTGTCAATTGATATTTTCCTTAAAAGAAAATGGATGGCAACTTGTAGGTCTACTTATTGGGTAATTCGTCCCTCTCTCCCTCTAATCCCACCCCCAACATACACATTATTGTAAATAATGACTCATTCTTAATCATTAAGACCTGAGCAAGCTCAACATTTTTCACACACGAAAAATTCATTAAATGGAGCCCTCATTTTACTTATTAATTACAAAGAAAAAATGGTACCATTATCGTAGAAAAATTTGATAGACATGAACTTAACCAAGTGATCAAATTTAGTATGATCAATAATGGGACAAAGTGATATCATGTATTTCCCAATGTGATACACTGAGAAAGATACAAATCACCATTGTAGTATTCCCACCAAAAATGCTTGATCTGAATTTAGTCATGAAGAAACAACCAGACATATATCCTGCAAAACAACTGGGCTTCATCTCCAAGGAGGTCAGAGTCAGAAAAGAAAAAAAAAAAATTAGCTTAAAAGAAAATAAAGAGATTCCGAAACAAAATGTCATACTGGTTACTAGATGGGGGAAAAAAAAATAGCTATAAAGGACATTATAAGGACGATAGAGAAACTTTGAATATGGATTGAATAAGATTGCAAATTTTTATCAATCTTAAATTTAAGTGTAATAATTTTATTGGGTTTACATAGGAGAATATCTTTATTCTTAGGAGACACATGTTGAATTATTTATGTGTGAAGTTTCACGATGTCTGCAACTAATTCTTAAATGGTTTGGTCAAAAGGCTACTTAGTAATAACAATAAATATTCATTTGTATATACTTATATAGAGAAATTTTTTAAATGTGCAAAACATTAACAATTGATTAAGTAAATGGTATATTATAATTCATTAATCTTGTCTTGCAAATCTTTAAGTTATACATTATAAAACTACAATTTTGTGGGAATATGGCAGTAAGGAGAAAACTATGCTATGGAACTACGTTCCATAAACAATAAACCCCATCATACATGTACTTCTAGTCATAATCCAATTGTTAATTTCCTACGTGAGAATTATCCTCAGGGTGGACCATCTGTAGCAAATGTTTAATCAAGGCTGGCCCTCCACTCTAATCTTACCACACACCTCCTCTCCTTATCCCACCTACCAGCTGATCCATAATCAAGGAATCCAAATCTAAAGGTGAGCTTTCCAAATAAAACCTCCCCAACAAAAGAATGCAATATATTCAGAAGTGAAATGGCAATAATTGTCATAAAATTAAACATTTTTTGACTGCCCACACCAACACTTACTTCAGTTTGTTCAATCATTAACAGGAAATTCATTGTATCTTTATTACTAATCTTGAAATAGTCCTCATACTTCTAAACTGTGGAAACTATCTCTATCATTAGCAAAACATTTTTGTTTTTTCACTTGTAAAATGGTAGTTAAATTGGACAATAAACAACTCCTCAAATATTTAGCTCAATGACACCCCAAAATAAATAAAGAATATGCCAACGAAAGGAATGCAGATCTGATTTATTGGCAATTTTTACTTTGCTTCTTTCCATCAATTGAAAAAGAAAGTTTATAATAAAAGAATGAATGACATCATTCAATCAGCAGCTAATCCCTTGCCTCCCAAAGTTCATCTTGCCTCAGGTGTTATTTAAGCAATAAATCCTAACAAGGTGAGCTTTATCATCTTACCCTGTGTGTCTGGCAGGAAAGGGCACAAGGTAATAGCAAAAACCACTAGGAACAAGATAATTCCTGACAGCTGCTGCTTGAGCACAAGTTAAATTGAACAGTTTATCTCAGCATGAAGATGTTATAAGGTTTTATGTTTAATATTTTTAAATTAACATAAAACCCAGAGAAAGCAGTTGGGCAATCTTTCACAAACATGACATACTACAATCACTGTATAAGCTGGATTAGTACTTATTACTATGCTACTACAGAATTAAGCTGTTTTTAGACCACCAAAGAGTTTTAAATTGCAACTTTTGTCTCTGTAAGAGAAACCTATATTTAAAATGTCTGCTAAATTCAAATTAACGACTACATAGTTAACTTAACATCTCACCAAAAGTATACGTAAGCTGCTATTATAATCGTCTAACCAAAACGGCTCTGTGCTGCAAGCACATTAACACCTTTCTATGTATTGGGGATTGTATCCACACACACGCTTCAATTGTTTTCAATGCACATTATATCTACAATCTGAGTCATATCTGCTCAAAAAATACAAACAATTCAAGATTAGAAATCTTAGTCTTTTCTTGCTCAGTTTGAATAAACCAGTTGCTTGCCTTTTACCCTATTCTCTTAATATGTAAAAAGAGATGCTGAAATACACTTAAGCTCTGTAGAAGTGCAGCCATTATTATCAAGATGCACACTTTTATATCTCAAATGGTATGGAAAGGCAGTGCAACAGGACACGTATTCAGTATTCCAACCACCACCACGTACAATCTAATTCTCCTTCATGGACTAGGTTATCTCACTCTTGCCCTATGATATCTTTTCAGTAGTAGCCCCCCTACCCACCCACCACCAACCATTTACCACAAATCAGGGATATCGGACACAATTTGACATGGATATCAGTTTGAGTTGTTATTCATACTTAAATAATGCCTTGCAGGGTTTTAGTAAGCCTTGGACAAAGGAGTAAATTCCATTCTTCCAGCTGGATCACTTTGCTCAATACCTAAATGCCTTGTCTAGATTCACATGCCTCAGCCTCATTACCAAAGTCTCTGCTCTTTTATTGCCTATCTTGAGTTTCTGTTCCTTGATACCTACTCTCCAGAATTCTAGATCCCGTACTTTCTGTGACACAGTATTTTCAACAATGATGGAAATGTCCTATGTCTGTACTGTCCAATATAGTAGTGACTAGCTACATAAGGCTATCAAGCACTTGAAATGTAGTTAGTGCAACTGAGGAACTAAAATTTAAATTTAATTCAATTTGATCAATTTAAGTGTAAATTAAATAACCATTCAGTAATGGCTACTGTGTGGGAAAGCACAGCTCTGGATGGACCAGCTCTCTTTATTTAACCCAACACACTACCCATGGTAACCTGAATGCATTTCCTCAATTAATTGATTTTCTTGTACAGATCCTTGACCTGCTTCTGATAATTTAATTTCTCCTGACTAGCTAGCTATATTTTACCTATTGGGCTCTCCAATTCTGGAATGGCACTATTTTCTTTTTCCTTCTGATAATCAGATAATCCATGTTCATTATAGAAATT